GAGGCAGAAAAAAGGAAGCAGAGACCGAAATCGAGTCGATTTGCAATTGTATCGTGGGAGGAGAAAGGTCATCTTGATTCGATAGCATTGACGCGTCTGCATCGTTTTTCTCCGTTCATATTTAATTCCCTGGCATGGCGTTGGGTGATGCTGTTTGTTCTGAATATTGAACTTTTAAGTGGCTCCGAAATATGTAAATCCGTCGTTGGATGGGAACTACAGGGAAAAAAGAACGATATTTATTCTCAGGCACGGCAGGGCCTGGCCATCGCTCGATTCTTTTTTTTTTTTTTTTGGAGTTGCTTCATGGATATCCAGCCTGCTTCGCGAGAATAAATATTCATTAGATTAAACGGTCCGTTAGTCTGGACAAACTTCTTTTATTTTCTAGACTTTCAACCACGGAACTTTGATTCTATTCGGTGATAATTGAGAATAATACTCTCGGCCGAATGAAAAATTTCAAATATGGAAATTGCATAGTTAAATGAGCTCATGTTTCAGCGAAAAGGAATTTTTCTTAACTTTGTTATTTAACGAGATACGACGGTCAAGTTTCGGTTTTCAAATGGAACTATATATTTCTTTTTTTTATACTTTTCAAGACAAATTCATTAAGCTTTGATGTATTTAACACTTAATTGAAGAATGCAATGAACTAGAGGAAGACTGAAGGAATCTCCATATCCCAAAGTCTTTAGATATACTAAACAATAAGAGCGAGTTTTACACCTTTACCTTAAACAGATATTTTAAAAAAAAAATATTAGGCTTGTAAAGTATCTTTTAACAAATTGCAGCATTTACTCTACTTATTGAAAGTACTGTGGTAGGTAGGAACTTAGTTAACCAATCATTGTTAAAAGTTTTTGGTTTTTCCAGTTTGGAAAAATCCGTGGTATCGAATCGTATTTCGTATCGGATGTCATATTTTATGAGTTGTTAAAACCACACGAAACAGTCACCGCCGAACGTTATTGCCAACAATTGAAGCGTTTACACGATAATTTGATAGAAAAACGACCATCAATTGCATCGAATCAGCGAATAGTGATCCTTCTCCACGAAAATCCTCGGCCTCGTGTTGCTAGAACTGTAAAAGAAACACTGGTAATATTAAGTTTAGAAAGTATCTTTTAACAAATTGCGGCGTCATTGGATCAGCAATTTGTAAAAGGATTCTACTTATTGAAAATACTGTGGTAGGAACTTAGTTAACCAATCAACGTCAACAGTTTTTGGTTTTTCATATTTAATGCACGACATCCCTGTTGTCCTAGAGAACATTTACCTGTTTCGATAAAGCAATAACTGCTGTCTCGGTTTAGGACCTCACAAGATCCCTACCAACGACTACACAACTATCTTTGAATAAATTACTGGCAAATTATTAATCGGCAGCGTACCATGAAATTGTATTTTGCGATTACAACTATTTTCCACGATGGGTCGAGAATTTATTTGAGCGGGAAAGTAGAACGCGAAACAGGCGACAGAGGTACGGAATTGCAGAGGGAAGTTTTTTGAACCTGTAGAAAAGTAATGTCCCGTTTGATAAAAAGGTTTGATTAACGACGCTTTTTTCAACACGCGTCGGCACACTTCACGTGACATTTTTTTGCGATCGCAGTGTGCTGCCCTGGCGAAGCCTCGACTATCAGAATAGTTCCAGCTTCCACGTTCAGTGAAAAAGACCGATTGTAGTCGGACAACCGTTCTGAAACATTCTTCGGTAGATTTCGTAGATTACGTAATAATACAATATTTAATAATATTTAATATTTAATAATATTGTATTATTTCACAGTGCAATAATTATTATTCTACTAAATTATTGTGTCAAACGCATTTACGTTATTATATTCAATTGAACACTAACAATGGTCCACGTTTCTCCATAACATCGCGGTGCTACTGCGAATGAACGTAATTTACGTACTCTTCCCAAATTAGTAACGGCAGATATAATTCCAAGGATGAAACAAATAAATTCACACATATCGCGAGGATATCCGCTAATTAATCGTTTCAACATAAACGAATGGTAATTAATTCCCTGTACATTAATGTCTGCACTCGTTCGCGAATTCTGTTTACACGACGCGCCGGTGGAAACGTCGATCGTCGAACGAGTATCGAACCTCTACGTTCTGATATTATATATTTTCCAGGTAATCTTCTAACTCGCAATTCGTATTCAAATTAATCGCGAATCGCTTGCAGCACGCAAAACCCAGCACGCTTTCTCAAGAAGCGTTTCATAAGGCACGATTCTCTGCGAAGATGTTGTAATCCCGCTTTCATAACTGAAGAATAGCGATGGAGAGAACATCACAAAGGGATCCGCAGGAATTTCCGCAAGAAACGACCGGCATGCTTCTCGTAACAATTCCACATCGGACGACTGCGAAAAAGTAGCGTTCTTTCGTCGCGTAACGAGAAACGAGAGCAACTATTCGCGAGATCCTTCGTCTAACACGCAAGAAACGTTCCGTTCCACGTTTTCGAAGACCCGCGCTACTCGTTTGCATCGCAAAGCTAACTAAGCGCACCTACGCTCCTGTGCCTGATAAATAATATTTTAAAGCGTCCTAGTGAGTAGGTGCACTCGAGTGCACAGGCGCAATTAAAATATGTATGACGCGATTATTCGATCGTAAATTAACGAGGGCGAGTGCTCTCCAAAAACGTTCGGAAAATGTTCAAATTCGAAAGCATTTCCACGCTCGAATATTTATAAAAGAATGCATTTACATTTAAAATTCAATTTGCACAGAGCGACCAACGTTGAGAGACATCGACAACCGCGTGTGGTCTTTAGAATTTTATTACGATAACCGATAATAATTTCTCGTTCGATTCATTTTTATGTTTCAGAGAGCGTGACTTTTCTCTGTTGTACGAATAGAAATGAATGTACGACGATTTTGGTATTTGATCGTCAACTTTTTCAGAGGATTGAAAATGTCACGTTTACGATATGCAAAATATATAGTTTTCGTTCGAGCGCAGTTTGACGAAAACGCGTCGAAATAGGTGGAATTAAATTGTATGGAAAGGCTCGACTTATTTCAGTAGAAAAGGCGCGCTTATGGTCAGACGCAATTCCATTGGCGCGTTATGACGTCGTCGAACGCGCAACAAACTAACATTTAATAACACTGACGTGCTCGACATTTTCAGATAATATTCCTCGAAGTCTATCCGCGCAGCATTTATCGACAGCTCCGATCGAGTGGAAAAGTGGATATCAATTTTGAACACTGGCCCAATTTCACGTATTCGGTAATCAACGAACGGGTGTTTCGCGCGAACTATTAATTTGGCACAATTAAATTATCCGATAACACGCGTGCACGGTATTTTAATTTATCACGGTGATCGTTCGTTATGAATAACTCCTCTTGAAATAGAAACGCAGCGAGTCAAGAATTTATCACGGGACGACGATATCTCCGAAAATGTTTGAACGATAAAATGGAATGCACGTGTTTTGGATTTCTATAATTTACAGCATGGTCGATGTGCAACAAACGATTTTGCGGATTATCATTCGGAAGCATTTGTACAGTGATTCTTATTATGTTATAAATATTTCGAGTCCTATTTTGAGTTCTCACGTGGAAATTAAAATATCGTGTCAATGTGCAACGAACAATTTTGTGGATTGTTTTTTTTCATGTTATAAATATTTCGAGTCCTATTTTGGGTTCTCACGTGGAAATTATAATATTTTGTCGATGTGCAACGAACGATTTTATTGCTTGACTTTCCAAAACGTTCGCAAATCAACTTTTATTATCTTCTAAACATGTTGACATTCGTTGTAAGTTTTCGCGTGGAAATGATAATATTGTGAAATGTTAGGTGCCTGATGTGAAACACAAAACAAAGATTAAAGTTGTGAAAGGGGTAAAATTGTGGATAGAAAGTGAAACTAACTTTTGCTTAAAAGCTTAGAACGCGTTCACGAATATTCCGAATCTGTGATAACAGTTTTCTAATGTGCTCGCGATAAAAGCACAACGAAACACGTCATTTTTTACTCGAAATTCGGACGAAGCGATGTTTAACTGAGCTTTTTGTAGGATGTTACAACGGAAGAACTTCTCGTGTATCGCACGACGAACTGTTGCAGCATTGACATCGTATAAAAAACAACGATGGTTCCAAGAGGGCCATCGTGAAACAACGAAAACGACTGAAGGTATCGGTTGTACAAATAAAAGTGTGGGCACATCGAATGTAACGTTTGATCGTTGATACAGTAGGATGAAAAGCATATAATGCTTGTAGTGATGCAAATAAATTGTCAGCAATACAAAAAAGTCAGTTTTACAAGCCCACGGAAATTTGAATAATACATTTAATTCAACTGTTTGGAATCAAATTAATTGTCAATTTAATTGATATTTAAATATTGATATTCAAATATTAACTTTTCTTCGAATTGTTTCTCAGAAACCATGGTAAATATTGTCTCTAAGTCCTCCACAACAATAGGATCACAATTAATCGAAGCATGTAACGAGAATGAAGCATTTAATAGGAATGCTCGAGCGAGAGCTCATTAATCATCGATTCAGCGCCCACGGAAATTTGAATCTGACCTGATTGGTTTTGTTCGGTGGAGTTTCATCTGGCCAACGTATGGTCGTGCAATCTTCTTTTACAGAGTGACGTCGGTGTCTATTCATGCGAATATTTCTCTAAACTCGTGTGCGCGAATGCATTTCGAGGGAAATGAACGCCACCGCTGGCAAATGAAAAACGTTTTTCTGAAGCGTTTGACGTCGTCCGTCAAAGCTTTCAAATACTACTGAAACCTCTGAAATATCTTGAATTCCAATTACTTGGTGACCGTGGGCCACGCGGACTTAAGTTAAGGGTTACGAAATTGAACATTATTTATGTTGATTTTTGTATCGAATAGTAGGCGATGATTTCATTGATAGAAAATGGCGGGACATTTAGGTGAAATTTATCTTTTATTGTTGCAGGTTTCCACAGTACAATCACGCATGGTGCACGACGTCTCGTTGCAGGGTGGCTTTAATAAGCAGCTTCTTGACACCCTTCATCGCGTGCACTCCCAGCTACTTGGTATTTGGAGTAAGTTGTTCTTTTTATTTCTATCTAAACATTGATACCAAGCAGTCTTCCACTCTTCCATGGATTCGTTCGCTTCGGAATATTTAACCTTGCAGAAAATTAAATTAAATTGAAATTACAAGAACCTGTGACTCATTTGCCTCTGAAAAATTTCGTAACTACGAACGTTAGAAATTGGCTAGGGGTAGTAAATGGGCGCACCCTTGATTGGTAGATAAGTAAGAAGATGCTGAACGAGAATGGCACCCTGGAAGTTGCTTACATCGTGGACGCCGATTACTCCCAGCACAAGGATTTCGTTTACCAGCTGAATTTCTGGGTACTGGGGGTGGTCATGAAGCTATTACCCTGCCTCATTCTCACTGTCATTAGCTGTTGGCTGATAAAAGCTCTTTACAGGTAATTCCGCAACAATAGTCTCCCCACTAACGACCGAAGCAACGTTTTAAGAAAATTGAATGCACCTCTCTGTGCTCAAAGCTTGGATTCTCATTTTCGAAGTTATTATCGCGACTCGGGGCAGAACTCGCCGAACAGATCATTTTCATCGATCCGCTGCACGCTATAGCAACCGACATATACCGTATAACGATTCTCTGTCAGGAAAATAAAAAAATTAATTTCATTCCCACTGCGCGGGGTTGCGCTGCTCTTCGTATCGAACGAGGGAAATTGTACTTATATTTACCATGAATTGAATCGAAATTAAATTAAATTAGGTAATTTCACCGGTATTGTCACTTTGTAAATAAATAAGTGGCATTGTTGGCTCCCCGATTCGTTTGTGTCACATTACCGAGTATTTAGTATGAAATTATTCTATGGAAAACAAAAAAATAAATATACACGTCGAATAGAGTAACCCCCACCTTTTCGAAGTCGGTTAAAAATAAATAAGTATGAAATTGTATTAGTAAAAAGAAACGTGGTATAAAATTCTACTGAGAAGCTTCTGATAACGTTCCAGAGCAAAGGGGAGAAAACAGGCGTTGAAGAGTTACAACCAGTGCAAGACCACTACGTTGGGGAACGGAGTGGCCCAGCCAAAGCCCAGCAAGTCTCTGAAAAGAGCAGACAGGACGACGAAGATGCTGGTGGCTGTGTTGCTCCTGTTTCTGGTCACAGAGATTCCCCAGGGCGTCCTGGGACTCTTGTCGGGCGTCCTGGGGGATTGCTTCTTCCGCAACTGCTACCACAACTTCGGGGAGGTGATGGACATCCTGGCGTTGCTGAACGGCGCCATCAACTTCATCCTCTACTGCTCGATGTCCAGACAGTTCCGTACCACTTTCGGGCAGTTGTTCAAACCTAGAATCATGAAGAAGCGGCAGCCTGCCACGCAGCAGACCGACGTTCAGAGCACTTATGTATGATGCAGGCTGAAGGGTCAGGAGACCACGCGTCTCTAGAGGCTGGATATTCTTAACGAGCATCCTCGAGTGTCTAAAAAAAACATCAGCTTACAGGGAACGATAAGACGGAACTTTTTTATGTTTACAGTTTATTCGTACGACGTTTAGTTTCGGAGAT